TTAATATTTGGAAGTTGAAGTGGTTTTAAGCATTACGCATTGCATTTTTCGATTCTCAGATATGTGCGGCTGCAGGTTTGCACACCTGTGGCTCTTGAAAAAATTGTTTTGGTTATAGTCCCGATATCGCTTATAGTGCAGATATTCGAGACTCTCACAACCAGTGGTGGAAGCGGGGTTCAGTCTTTTTGGAACAGCTTTGGGAGCAGGAATAACACCGTTTTGGAGTAGCTTTGGAACAGTAAAAAGGGGCATTTTGGAGTAGCTCTTGAGCACCAAAAGGCGTATTTTGGAGCATCAAATTCTGTTTGGAGCATATTTCTTGGGTCACACATCCCTGTTTATTAGAATTTTTGTTTTTTCTTTACTTTCTCATCAACATAAAAGCTCAACGGTTTATATATATGCAAGAAAAAGACGGCGAAACTTTCACGAAAGCGTCTTTACTTAACGTTTTCAGCTGGTGGACCAGCATTCGTCAGAGTAATGTTACATTACTCCGACGCCAGGAGAACGGCCACGTGACATCGCCAACTACCTGACAGGAACTCAGTGGACACCACTAAGCCCTTCGCGTTCGCCGTCGCCCAGCCGCACGTCACCGCACCACCGGCAGTACTCTGGCCCAACGCGGGGCCGGTCTCTTAGCCCGTATCCGGGAAACTAAAGGCAGCAACCGATGGAGGTGCGGTTGCTTTGCGACGAACTACCGAAGATCCTCCGATGGCGACGACGCCGTGACGGAGCTTTCCGAGCACAACGCCAACCAGGCAAAGCCCTGACGGTGAAACCTCACTTACCGAAGGTGACCTGACGACGCAACATTGAAGCAGCGGAACAAGCCGACGCAGCCGTGACCCGACGCCACGCCCTAACTGTAATGCGAGACGGCGAACTACCGACCTCGACGTTCTTATCAACGGCCACAGTGTGACCGCTCTCGTCGATACTAGAGCCGACTACTCCGTCATCAGTGAGTCGTTCGCCGCGAAGTTAAGGAAAGTTAGGACAGCTTGGGAAGGCCCTGAAATCGGCACAGCCGGAGGTCATCTCGTAACACCTGCAGGAATCTGCACAGCGAGAGTCACCATTAACAGCCGTATTTATCCTACAGACTTCGTAGTCCTACAGCGTTGCTCGAGAGATGTCATCTTTGGCATGGACTTCTTATGCCTCCATGGTGCTGTCATCAACCTAAAAACAAAGTCGATAACGTTATCCGCAAAAGAAGCACTACCGCCGCGCACGCCGTCAGGAAACTGTGCCTTGAATGTGCTGGAAGAACAAGTCACCATTCTGCCTCGCTCAAGCGTCATTATTTCAGTCGGCGCTCCTAAATCACCTGACTTGGAAGGCGTCGTTGAAGGCAGTCAGCATCTGTTGGTCACCCGAAATATTTGCGTCGCAAGAGGAATCACAGAGCTGCGAGGAGGCAAAGCAACGGTTATGCTCACGAATTTCAGCAATGAGTACAAACATGTGAACACAGCAACGACGGTCGCATACATCGAAGAAATTGTCGAAGCCACCAGTGCTTTCGCCCTCGCCGATTCTGCGGAACCTGCTCAGAGGAACCAAGCCCCTCCCATAGCTTTCGATGTCAATCCCAGACTTCCGAATCATAAGCAAAAACAGCTCAAGGCCCTGCTCCTACAATACGAAGATTGCTTTTCGTCGTCATCAAAAATTCGGCAGACCCCAATCACGAAACATAGCATCATAACCAAAGAAAATGCCAGACCACTCCATCAAAGTCCGTACAGGGTTTCGACGCGAGAATGTGAGGCCACGAAGAGACAAGTTGATGAAATGCTGCGGGATGATATTTACCAGCCGTCCAAGAGTCCATGGGCATCCCCCGTGGTGTTAGTGAAGAAAAAGGATGGGACCCTACGCTTCTGCATCGATTATCGCCGCCTGAACAAAATCACAAGAAAGGACGTGTATCCTCTCCCACGAATAGACGACGCACTTGATCGGCTCCATAACGCCAAGTACTTTTCGTCAATGAACCTCAAGACTGGCTATTGGCAAATCGAAGTCTACGAAAGAGACCGAGAGAAGACGGCGTTTATAACACCGGACGGCCTCTTCGAGTTTAAGGTGATGCCCTTCGGCCTTTGCTCAGCGCCTGCAACTTTTCAACGCGTTATGGATACAGTACTGGCAGGATTGAAGTGGCAGACTTGCCTTGTGTACTTGGACGACGTCGTCGTGTTTTCCTCGAGTTTCGACGAGCATCTTCGGGGCCTTGAAGCGGTACTTCAAGCCATCAAGACGTCCGGACTCACACTGAAGCCAGAAAAGTGCAGATTTGCGTACGAGCTCTTGTTTTTGGGGCACGTTATTAGCAAGTCTGGAGTTCGTCCTGATCCACGGAAAACAGCCGCCATTGCTGACTTCCCGCCGCCCACTGACAAGAAGGCGGTGCGCCGATTTCTGGGCCTGTGGGCCTATTATAGGCGGTTCATGAAGAACTTCGCCCGCATCGCCGATCCTCTCACTAACCTTACAGAGGCCGACGTGCAGTTCAAGTGAGAAACGCCACAGGAACACGCTTTCCAGGAGCTTAAAGATCGCCTCCAGACGCCTCCATTACTTGCCCAATTCGACGAATTCACCGAGACAGAAATACACACTGATGCAAGCAACGTGGGTCTTGGCGCCGTTCTTGTGCAGAAGGATACATGGACGAGGCCATGATGCTCGAATGGATACGAGTGGTGTGGAACCGTCGGCCAGGTGCACTGCTGCGTCTCCGCATCATGCTGGTGTTGGATGCGTTTCGTGGCCACTTGACCGACGCAGTGAAACGCGCACTCGGCGACGGGAAAACGGACCTCACAGTGATACCAGGTGGTATGACGTCCACCCTCCAGCCGCTCGACGCTGTACTAAACAAGCCGTTCGAGGACCGAGTGCGGCTGGAATACCAAGAGTGGATGTCCGGCGACAACCCCAAGACACCGACGGGCTGCCTACAGAGGCCTCCGCTTGCGACTGTTTGTGGCTGGGTGCTTTCCGCCTGGCGCTCCTTGCCGGATTCCATGGTGGAAAATTCTTTCAAGAAATGTTGCATCAGCAGCTCGCTGGATGGCACTGAAGACGACGCACTGTGGGAGGCGGCCAGTGACAAACTCTCGTCTTCAGAAGACCGTGGTGCTTCGTCGGACGAATAGGAGCAGTTGCGATGGTGGTAGAGGGGAGCTCCGACGATCGGGATGCGGTGCGCCAATTCGCGAATAAATGTGGTTCGGCAGTTTTGGGTTGTTTTCCTTTTCTTTTTTCGGTAACCTGAACTTGGAGGGTCGACCTATATTCCCACTCGACCTATAGTCCGGTTTATACGGACCGCGCTGCACCCGCCGCGCGGCCCATGGCCAACTTCTTCTTCCTTGACGAGCGCCCCATTCTGAAGCGCTAAAAGGCTTCCTCCCCCCCCCCCCCGGTAGAGCGAGAGCCGTAGAAGTCACCAGAGGAGTTGCCCAGTGGACATGCTTGTGGGCATCCAGACTGAAGATTGAAACCTTGCGGCCGTGAGAGTAGCAATATACGCAGATTTCAGTCGATCAGCAGCAACGACATCTTCACGGCCATTGATGTCCAGCGTGAATGACTTAGGTGTACGATGGAGCACGCGGAACGGCCATCATAGGCTGGTGTGAGTGGTAGTCGCATTTGGTCACGCCGAACGAAGACGTGACTGCAGTCATGCAGATCCTGGCTGACGAAGACAGACTGGGTGTGTGGGTCGGTAGGAATCACAAGAGCAAGGTCCCGAAACGTGGTGCGCAGCTCTCGAATGTACGTGGAGGCATTGTGAGTGGAAGGTGGCATTGATGGCTCGAAGAATTCTCCTGGAAGACGCAGGGAAATGCCATAGACTAGTTCGGCTACAGCCGAGATCACTTTCAATGCTGATCAGATGCCCAGAAGTACGAAGGGGAGGTGGTCGAGCCAACGTTCCCTTGGCTGGTGAGCAGTGAGGGTAGCTTTCAGTTGTCGATGCAGCCATTCAACCATGCCATTGGCAGAAGGATGGTAGGCACTTGTGTGGATGTGCCGAATGCCCAGGATATTGGCAAGTACGGTGAAAAAATCACGTCCGGGTTACTATAAACTGTCAGAGCTAACACGAGAAAGATCCAGCCCTGACAGCGTTTAGTTTTCGAACTGATTTTTTTTTATTACCACGCTGCACTGGTCGCGTGGCCCAATGCCAACTTTTTTTTTCTAGACGAGCGTCACATTCTGAGGCGTTACAGAGTCTTTTAATGAACTTTGTGGGGTCTCGGCGAGGCGAACGAGCGCATCGCCACGCCACGCTCTTGGAGTGACGGACACAGTGAACACGGTCGGTACAAAGCACCCAACATACATACATTTATTAACTAATTTAGACGACGATATCGTCCGCCGAATGATACACCAATTTCAACTAACACGCTACCATACAAACAACATAACGCAGGGACACACTAAACACACAATAACATGATAAACCCACACTAACACACCCAACACACTAGCACATACCCAAGGCGGCGTCGCCAACGCCTGACCTTACACGCGGGACCCCGGCGCGAAGCCCGCGGTGCCGAGCACCGGGGACCCGCGCTACAGACAACCGTTCGCGGCAGCCGCCACGCGCAGAAGAGGCTCGCTCAACGCTCGCCCACCACCAAAGCCCGCCTTCCGCCAGGGGCCACCACCGGCGCTACTACTCTACCAACAGTGGTACTCAAAGCGAACACAACGCCATCTATCGCCCGGTGGTGGTCACCACCGAAATAACGCCCTGGGGCGAGACACGTGCGCCACGCGGCGCAGACAACTTTACAGGGGAGGTGTCAGCACCCCCACAACTTCAGTCCAGTCTAGTTCTGTGGGTTACTTTCTTCTTGTGTTTGCATTTCAAACTTGCAGAAACCCTTCACATCATGTACCAACTGGCCCACAAAACCACATGGCTAAACAAAATGAATCCTTAGGAAGCTCACCTCGAGGTGTGCAGTTTGAGCACTGAGCAGCTCGTGGTGCTTGCTCGTCAGCTTCTGCCGCAGCTCCGCCTGATGAGATTCGCTCTCCCGCAGGAGCGACTTCAGGCGGACTGTGCTCTCCCGTGCCTGGCGCTCTAGCTGCTCCGATGATTCCTGCATGCAAGAACAATTGAAGGAAGAAGAGGCCAGTCTCTATCAGTGGTAACTTGCACTGACTGCACTCATTCAGCAAAGCAAACAACAAAGTGCAATCTCAATACCGTCATGGAGTCCTGATGCTGACGAAGGCAGTGTTCCAATACAAAACACGCAACACTTTATTGCCTTTGGCGGCTACCAAACAAAATTATAACGTCCACTCCCGGGACGCCGGGAGCAAAGGCACCCGCACGCGGACATTCACAATAAGGGGAAACCGCGAGCACGTCGCAGCTGGCAATGGCGACCTTTGACACGCCGGTCGGGAAAAGGTCCCTTGCGGCTATGCTGCGCATTCTCACAATGGCCACTGGGCCTGGTCGCGAGTGTTAGGGCAAACCTCGTACGCGTAGGCTTACGGCAAGTGCGGCTCGGTGTGATACGAGCACTTCAAGCAGTAGGCACCGCTGTGGGCTTAGCGTACGCCACCGAAGCTAGCACTCAAGTAAACACGCCTGCCGAGGTGCCACAGGCCACCCCAGGCAGGCTACAGTCCGGCAATTCCCAAAGGGGACGCGGATGAAGGAAAACACGTGCTTACCCGGCGCCGACCACGAAAAAAAGAGCACTCCTTCGGCGCGCACGTGCCGCGTGCCGTGTTTGCACGTGGCGCCATTTATCGCCACACGCCGTTATCAGAGCAGGAAAAGCAAAAGGGTGTGGCCGTGCGGCGGAATGCCCGCGAAATGGTCGCGGGCATTCCCTACAAAGTGACCCATGAAACGCACTCACAAGTACAGATGAACGCGAATAAACGTCTGTTGTTACTTCGCTGTGTCTGAAAAGCGCGCCCTTTTCGCAAACGGAGGTTGTGCAACGATTGCACTGACCTTAGTGCACCCTGTAACTACAACACACCCTCTCCGTGGGCCAAAGTACGCGTGAGAGATGAGAGCCCCCGCGCGCTCAAGGCGCCATCTTGCTGATAATGCTGAAAATACTTTAGTTTCTTCCCCGAAATGCCCGCCAAGAGCGGTAAGTAGTAAATATAAATAGCTTGCCGTTTGAACATTGAAAGCAGTACTGCTCAGTGGCTTAGTGGTTAACGCCTCGCATTCTCGACGCGGAGGCCCCACATTCGATATCGCGCACTAGAGTCTTTTCCTGGAATTTCACTTTTTTGCGTCTTTGTATATATATAGATACGTACGCATATACGGTGCAAGATGCCGGCGGCGAAATCCAGCCGAGAGAGTCCATATACTTGCTATCGCAATAAAAGAAAGAAAAGTCATCCTTTAGTTGTTTTTTTCCACTCCTCACCATTACGCGTGAATCGAGAAGCAAGGCGTCCGTCATTCTCTGTGTTGTCTACTTGCGTACCGCTCCGGTGGTCGCTACGGATTTAGGAACACGAGTTCGCTGTACTGAGGCGTTGTTAATCTTTTTATCTCTATTTATTTATTTATTTATTTGATACTGTCAACCCCGTCCTTGAAGTCATTACAGGGAGAGCGTCACATATTACATAGTACTCACACAGTAAAGCAGTATTCCATAGCACATAGAAAAAACAGATTAATAATCATCATCAGGAGAAGAAAAAACAAACAGCAGTGACTATGCCTATTAAAAATCAAATAACAAATGCTAGCAACAGAAGTTAGCAATTATCACTGCAGAGAAAGCTGTCTAATGCATCTTTAAAGTTGACTGATGCCATTTATTGCACAACCAAATCAGGTAAGCTATTCCACATTTCTATAGCGTCTGGAAAAAAGGAGAGGCAGAAAGCATTCCATTCGTGTGTGTGAAATAGGGTTGAATAGCTCTGCTATTATTAAGACGACCACTTCGCTTCCAGGTGGCCGAAGACATAAATCCTTGTTTGTTTTTGTTTGCCCGCTTATAATCTTAAAATGAAATTGGAGGTGTTGCTTGCGTCAATGATATTCTAAAGACTATAGTTCACAGGACTCTAACAAGGCCGTGACAGAGTGTGTGCATTGGTATTTAACACATACGAAATGGACTGCTAATTTCTGCATTCTCTCAATTTTAGTCCTCAAAACCTTTTGGTGAGGTGACCAGACAATACTAGCGTACTCTAAGACTGGTCTTATTAATGTTATTTAAGCAGTTAGTTCCACATCCGGTGTGGCATGTTTCAGCTTTTTCTTGAGAAAAAAGTTTTTTATTCGCCTTCGAACAGATGTTACCTATATGAGAGTGCCACTGTAGTGTGTGCACGATACTAACTGATAGGTATTTGAAACAAGTGGCTTTATTTAAAGGTTGATTTCCAATGTGGTACACATACCTGCCAAGTTCAAGGATTCTGAATACAGAAGATTTCCGCGACAGAGGTGGGAGGGAGGTGCAATAAATTATTTGCCCCTATTTTTTTTTTACACCAAACAAAAAAAACCCATGGACAAACAAGTAAAAAATGTGGTGAAAAACAAGAGACGGTGAGGGGAGAGTCTCATTTACAAGCGCCAACATCAGCGTTGCAGTTTTTTAGTGGTTTGGAGAGGTTGAACACACGAGGGTTCGGTTTCCCACTAAGGTGAGAGTCTCAAAGGATCAACACAACTAGCAGAATCTATTTACTCCAAAACAACTCGCATATGTCTTCTTGTGGGGCACAGGCGAATGTATGGCACGACGCAGCTGGCTGCCGCAAAAAGCGCGGGTCAAAGCTTTGCCCACTACTAGATTCTTTTCACAGGAATGCCAAAAACGCATGTGGCCTCTTTTTATCGCGATAGAAATTAAATGGACAGTCTAGGCTGGTTTTTTGCCGTCGCCGCCACCTTTCACTGTTTATGTATACGTATCTATATACCTATATATATATATACGAGCACTCAAGAAAAAAAAACAACGCCGGCACTCAGCGCCGGGCTCGTCGCGATGCCCCGACACACCCTTATCTCTCATGGGTATTATGCCCCGGGGATGGGGGGTAGATGCTTGTGCGCACGTGCTTATCCTTTGGTGGGGAGAATCATGTGCCTTTGGCTTTCACTGTAACAATTGCGTTAGTTGCCTGGCCCACAAAGGTCACTTCCCTCTCTGCACAGGTCCCCTTAGTGAAAAGAGCATGCTTTTCATACACAGCAAGGTATAACTGGGACACTTGTAAGTTTGTACTACTCATCTGTACTTGTGATTACGTATCGTGCGTCATTTTACTTTTAACAGCGCATTCGAGCGGTAAACGTTGTTAGTTCACTCTCATGCTGTGTGTATCGTTTTCGTGTGTCATTTGTGAGTGAACAGCGCGCGGCATGTTTCGTTCTGCTTGCCATCCTCAGCGTGACTTTCCAAGTTGTTGCTGTTGCATTGATTGCTTCACCCTTACGGTGAAACTGTGACTTTTGTTTTACGTATTTACAGCCTTTAATCTACCGCTGCGTGTCCTCGGAGCTTGTAGATTGCCATCGGGTCACTGCGACTGCGGTTTTGTGTGCAGCGGTTCTGGAAAATGGTATTTTTTTTTTACAATCCCCGTGTGCTTGGCTGTGCGCTCGCCTTTAAATCTAAGTCGTTTTATGCCATCTACGATGGCATCTGCCGGATTTTTGTCCACAGAGTTTGCCGAAAGTTTAGTTTGCTTTGACCGGGTGAGAGCACACTTTCAGGGCTCTGTCAGTTACGTCGTCGCCATACATGATCGCATCAAGAGCGACCACGGTTTCGTCCACAGCGGTTGTGGCAACTGTAACGGGGTTTATTTGCAGCGCAGAACGCAGAAAGCGAAACAGTCAGCAGCGTCCGGCCAAGCGCAGCAAGCACGAGCTTATGCTGATGGCGATGCCTCTGATGCGCCGAGAAATGCCGCTGAAGCTCCTCTTCTTCACTACAATCGCCCTCGGCACAAAAAGACGCCATCCTGGCGGATTAGGGAGAAGAAACGACTAATGGGTCGTAATATGGCTTGAGACGAGAGACGTGGACAGTGTCGCGGCCGCGGTAGCGTAGGTCTGTGGATGGGATGATGGGCTCCACAATATAGTTGACGAGTGACGTTTGCTCTACAACGCGGTATGGCCCGATGTATTTGGGAAGAAGTTTTGCGGAGCGGCCAGGCGCGGTAGCAGGTGCCCGAAGCCATACTAATGAACCAGGTGGAAAGTTTGGAGCCGAACGGTCCCCAGTCTGGCGGGATTGCTGCTGCCACTGGTTCTCGGTAGAAAAAGAGCGGGCAAGCTGGCGGCATTCCTCAGCATGTCGGGCAGCTTCGGACAGAGTTGTACTTTCGGACTCATAAGGTTTATATGGAAGAATAGTGTCTACTGTATTTGAAGGTTCTCGTCCGTACAAAAGAAAGTATGGCGAAAACCCAGTAGTAGCTTGTACGGCAGTATTATACGCGTAGGTGACAAACGGGAGAACTTGGTCCCAATTTGAATGATCAGAGGCGACGTACATCGACAGCATACTGCCAAGAGTACGGTTGAAGCGCTCCGTCATGCCATTTGTTTGAGGGTGGTACGCTGTACTTGTGCGGTGCACGATTCGGCATTCGTTGAGTAATGCCTTCAAGGCGTCAGAAAGGAAGGCAGGGCCTCCGTCACTTAAGAGCTCGCGAGGGGCACCATGACGCAGAATGAAACGTTGCAACAGAAACGTTCCAACGTCACGGGCTGTGGCAGTCGGCAGCGCGGCTGTTTCGGCATAGCGTGTCAGATGGTCTATCGCAACAATAATCCAGCGATTACCAGCTAGAGTTGATGATAGTGGTCCGTAAATGTCAATGCCGACGCGATCAAAAGGTCGACTAGGACAAGGAAGAGGTTGTGACGGGTAGACTTGCCCGGGAGGTAACTTTTGTCGTTGGCACTGAGCACACGAGCGAATGAACTTTCGCACGTAGTTATACATGCCACGCCAATAATATCTGAGTCGAAGCCTAGCGTATGTCTTGAAGAGGCCTGCGTGGGCGCACTGTGAGTCCGCGTGAAAAGCTTTGCAGATGGCAGCTCGAAGATGGCGGGGTATCACAAGGA